GTAAGAGTAAAAAAATCAGGTAAGGAGGAAGAGATTATTTGATGGATATAGAGCGATTTTTTATTAATTGATCTTATGTTAATATTAAACAGTGAAAATGTAGAGGTAGGTTGAATATTGGTATTTTTAAATCTAGTTATATTATTTAAACTAATAGAATTAGAATTATTATTCTTATCATTAGTATTAATTACATTAGGATTAGAGTAGGATTTAATAAAATTATTATTATTCTTATTATACTTGCTAATAACATTATTATTATTAATATAATTATGGTTACTAACTATATTTATTTTTTTGTTAGAGTCAGATTTATTATTTTTATTGTTATTATTAGACCTAAGATTAAAGTAAAAAATTCGCCGCCGAACTACTCTCGTCGGAGACAAAGGAGTGTTAGAAAGGCTTAAGAGAAAGTCTCTAGAATAAGACATAATAATATTTTCAAGTTAAGGAAAAGATGTTGAAAGATATAGAAAAAAATAGTCATAGTAAAAAAGAAGAGAACTCACTTGTTCAGAAGCAGAAAACAAGAATCCACCCAAATTAAAAAACCACCGAGAAAACGTGCCGCCATCACGCTAAAAGTAAACCAAATATATAATATATAAAATAAGTAGTAATAAGTAGTAATTTTTAATTAGTTGTGGTAATTACAAATAATTTAAATTTTAGAAATCATGTCTGATGGATATCATAGAAAACACGAGTCTGGAACTGAAAAACGAAAGAAAAAGAACGTGGAAGAAGAAGCATTAAAAAAGATGATGGGTTCCATACTAAAATATATAAATATAAATAATGATGATAAGCCCAACAATGACACAACTGTCACCACCAATGTCTCAATACCAGAAATATTGCCGAACAAAACTGCCAAACAAAGTGAAACAGATGTTATTAATGAAAAAACAGAACAGATCTACTAGTCTAAAGACAAACAGCTTCAATTTGATGATCCAAAACTAGCAAGCAGCGAAGATTTTAAAATGCAGCAAAGCAATGAATGCAGATTCAGTGATCCAGCTGAATGGGAAGTAAATGCAGATCTTATAGGCTATTATGCAGAAAATGTCCCGTCACAGAATTTAAAAAGTGATTTTCTTTTAATGGGTAGACAATTTGGAGACAAGATAAGATATGCACAAAAAGAATATTTCCTTAGAAAATTGTCAAATGGAGAAGTTGTCAAGAGAGATTGGCTCATTTATTCTCCTTCAACAGGTAAAGTGTTTTGTTATGTGTGCAAGCTATTTGGTTGCAAATATGGTGGTGTCGATGAATCTGGTAATTGTAATCAATTTCAAACTGGTTTTGATGATTGGAAAATGCAACTGCAAGAATTACTTTGCATGAGAAATCTAAAAACCATATTGCTGCTCTATCAATGATGTTGCAACGTCAGAAGTCTACTAGAATTGATGCAGAACTCAATAAAGAAAAAGAGAAATTGTTTAAATACTGGATTGAAGTTCTAAAAAGAATCATTGCAGTTATAAAATTTTTTGCTGAAAAAGAGTTAGCTTTTTGTGGTGAAAGTGAATTGCATAACTGCCATAACAATGAAAATTATCTTGGCTGCATTGACCTTTTAGCTGAATTTGATCCATTCCTAATGGAACGCATTCGAAAATATGGAAACCCGGGAAAGGGAAAGGTATCATATATGTCTTCAACTATATGTGATGAGTTCATTAATATATTAGGCTCTAAAGTATTGACACTGAAGTATTGATAATTTCTAAAATAAACAATGCAAAATATTATGGAATTAGCATAGATTCAACTCCTGATATTAGTCACACGGATCAACTTACACTGGTTATTCACTATGTCATCCCAATTCTTCAGTTAATTCCAAGTGAACGTCACGATAGAAAATACTTGTTTGATTTTGTAGTGAATACTCTTAAGCTTCATGGTATTGATATTAAAAATTGCAAATCACAATTGTAAGATAATGCCAGCAATATGAGTGGAATTTATTCTGGAGTACAAGCTAGATTTAGAGAGATCAACAGTTGAGCAGAGTGGATACCATGCGCTGGCCACGGCTTAAATTTGGTTGGTTCATCTGCCGTGGAGTGTTGTTCAGCACCAGTTAACTATTTTGGTATTGTTCAGTCAGTGTATAATTTCTCTTCGGCTTTACCACAGAGGTGGTTAAAATTTAAAAAACGAATTAAGGATAAAGCAAACGCTTCTGTCCTACAACGTATATTAGAAGCAAGATGGTCAGCACATAGTAATGCTACAAAAGCTTTTTATGCAAACTATTTGGAGATTCGCCTAGCATTGTCTAATATTACTGAAAGTGAACGCCAACCACCAGCAGCTGTCCATGAAGCAAAATCGTTAATAAAAAATTTAGGCCATTATGAGACTGCGCTAATGTGTGTGATTTGGAAAGATTTACTTCAGCAAATTGATATAGCCAATAAAGCTTTGCAGCAGTTTGGCATAAATTTGTGCACTATCATCAAATTGTATGACAGTCTCACAAAACATTTTCATGAAGAATTAATTTTTTCAAAGCGTTTGAAAGTATGGCAAAAAGTCTTACAAAATCCGATTACAAAGAATGTACAAAGCGCAAACATGTGTGAAAAATATTTCATGGAGAAGTTATGGTGGTGGAGGAGGATAATATTGATACCAGTTCAAATTTGAATGCCAGTGACAATTTCCGTATTCAGTCTTTCTATGTGACTTATAATTGAGATGGAAAAACGGCGAGCAGCTTACGCAGGATTACGTTACAGGTTCAGTTTTCTTCTTGACAGATCTTTGTCAAGTGATGAAATAGTTTCTAAGGCAAATGAATTAATTAAGATATATTCATCAAATCTGGAAGAGGCATTTGCTGATGAGTTTCTTTTGTTTTTCCAGAATGTTCGTCGACACAAAATCTGTTGCCGTAATGTTAAAGGCCCAAATAGAGAATAGGTTGGTTACAAATTTTCCAAATGTAAATATTGCTTTTCGAATTTATCTGTCAATTTTTGGAACAAGTTGTGAAAGTGAACGATCTTTTTCAAAACTGAAGCTCATAAAAAATTATCTGCGGTCTACGATGGGACAAGAACGATTGTCTTCTCTTGCACTTCTATCAATTGAAAACGATTTAATTCGGGAAATGTCATTTGAAGATGTTATTTGTGATTTTGCCCGTGCAGAGCCGTAAAGTTTATACAATTTAGTCTATAATTTAGTCTACTATATATAACAACTTAACAGTTTCTAATTATAAAAGCTATGCATTTTGAATTTTGGTTTTTTGTCTTTATTTCTCTATTTTTAATTATCCAATAAAAAAAATGATAATAAACATTTAATTAATTTTTTTTCGTAAGCCCTAGGCCTACTGGATAAAACGGCCCTGAATTCAAATCATGATTCAATTCTCAAATGAATGCATTTTGTAAATTTATAAAAATGATAATAACTGCATTTCTTATATATTGTTATAAATGACCATTCGACGACGAGTTTGTTTAATCCCAATGAAAAATAAAGACAATATAACTTTCAAATAATCGATTTATTTATTTGCAAAAACAATAATTAGTTAATTAATTATTCAATAATCAACGTTAATTAATCTTACTATTGAAAATTAATATTCACTATTAAATTAGCGTTCAGAAACTATCACTTTCCGAATAACCATTCACTAACGTTTATCGCAAATACAATAAAAATACAACGCAGAGTCAAATATCAAATATCGCTTTCGACATTAACAATCAATCGCTTTCCAATATCAAATATTCGACGACCCCATTCAATATCTCGCATGTCTTTATATACCCGTTTTACCGACGCTTCTCGAACGTCCTAGAAGGTTCTAGTTCCTCTTCGAGCTGTATGCGTTCGTAGCGACAGTAGCGCCTCCAGCGAATATATTTGTGACTTTTATAACAATAAATATATAAATTGGCGTTTTTTAGTATGGGTAATAGTGGTTGAGCGTGTTTAGCAGCACCGTTGATTTTAAGGTAGAAGCTTTTTTGTATATTTTTGTTCATGATGAATTTGAGATATTAGTAAATTCAATTGTTTATAAATGTGGAGAAAATTATATGGAAAATTGGTATAAGGGTTATTGGTATAAAGTTTGCCGAATCGTAGGCGTCGTGTTTTTTGTAGATCCTTATTGTTAAAACCTTTCTCCAGCATTTAAAACTTGACAAGGTATTCCAACATTCGAATAATAATATTATAATATAATAATAATATATAATTTTCACACCCACATGTCACAGACATATCACATGTAAAAAGCTACTATTAAAAACCAAAAACACCTTACCAAATAAAGGCATACACATATTTTTGATGAAGCTAACAAATATACTAAAAGTCACAAGCACACACACACGGGCACACCTGCACATGCACACGCGTACACAAATATAAAAAAAACACACATGCACACATATATACAAATAAACGCGCACACACATGCACACGCATACAAAATATACGCATGCACACAAGAAGAGAGAAGAGGCAAATAAGCAAGAAAAGAAATAACGCAGGTGCATTGAAGAGAGATATTTATTTAATTCGACTCATCCATCTAAGCAGGGGAGCTTCCTAATTAAACAGACACACGACATATGAACGACAAATATCTCCTGAACAAATTATCATTAACATCGTCTATCTCTTTTTTCTTCTTCAAGGCATCATCACATCGTCACCAGCACCGCTGTCTAAATCGTCATTATCATCGTTCTTATCGTCGCCACCATCACTATTGACTTCACCTTAACAATAATCGTCATCAATAATGTCGTCGATCGTCATTATCTTCCTATTATCATGATAATCATTATTGCACTTTTCTACCTCTTGCTGACAAATCTGTCATTAGAAGTTACCAGCTCAGCCATAGTTACTGCAGTGTTAAGCAAAATGAATAATATAAATATTTTTGAATTCTTTAATCCTTTGTTGAGAAATTGTGATAAAATTGTTGATGCAAATGAATAATGATGTAGAACATATCTTTCTTTTTAATGCGTATGCAAAAGAGATTGCGATGTAACAGTTCAACATTTGAATGAAGTGACAATTTTTTTATGCAAAATAAATTTGTTTTATTCCACTTTTTCATATGCTAATTGTTATAGCAAATTTTGATATTTTTCATGTTTTTTTATTACTGTTTTAAAATATGTATCTATAAAAACGTTATTTTAAAATCATTTATTACCCAAACATAAAATTAAAAACCTTGCTTCACATTATTTTTTTGACTTTTGTTAATTTACCCTAAGAAAATGTATCCTTTTATATTTTTTTTAAATAATTTCCAAACTAATTGTTCGTACGTTTCTTCAGCTTTCTCTCTTTTATAATTTTTTATTTTAATCAATCGATGCTTTACCAAAACTTTTCTTCTAACTAAAAGCAGAACCCAGCCTTTGAAATAATAAGGATAAAAGTTAAGGGTCTTTTATACTCTTCTAAAACTCAGAAGAATCAACAGCTTGTATGAATATGTGCAGAACACTCAAAACATATAATAGACGTGAATCCCATCTTCGTAATCGAACTATTCAAACTCGGCCATCGTACGCACAGTGAAACAGAACCAGGAACCTTAAAAACACGAGACCATCTCACCTAATTTGAAATGACGTCAGATCTCCTTATAATGAACTTCTTTACATCGAAAATTTTTATATAACAAACTTTTTTATGTTCCTTGGAATTTTAATTGTTACTAAAGAACGAAAATGACTTCTCCATAGGGAACTTAATTTTTAAAAGTTAAAAGAAATATCCGAGAAATTAAAAAAATAATTATTGAACATAATAAACTGCAAGTTAAAATTTTGCATAACTGTTTAAGGTATACTGTTTTACTTTTTATCATAAACAGTGTAATTCAAAATGATAGAAAAGATCGATTTTTTTTATTTTCTTAAAATCTATGTTTGGCCACCTTAAATAAAATTTTCAAGGTTTATTTCTATCAACATTTAAACAACTATAATGTTAATTTCTTTTGCTAATTTTATTTTATCCGATTTTAACATTCGGTCAAAATGATAGGAACGAAGAAAATTTTGTTATATAATTTCAGTAGGAACATGAAACAAGTCTTAAAAGTCAATTTTGTTTCATTTATTCTCAGTTACCTTAATGCATCTTGACTTTATTGAATTAATGAGAGATTGTAACAAACTGCCACCAATTTTGTCGCATTGACTAAAAATTTCATTTGTAAGCTTGTAACATTTTTAAACTGTCTTCCATTGGCATGAACTGCTTTTACTAGACGCCGCCACAAGTTTTAAATTGGATTAAGTTTAGGTAATAGGGCTGGCTTTGCCAAAACATCAATTTTATGGGCCTTTAGGAAATCGTTAGTGGTTTTTGATGTATGAATAGGTGAATAGGGGCATTATTGCGTTGATATATAAATTTTTTGCCATGTTTTGATTATGCAAACGGTACCATGCACTGTGAAAGTATATTCATTTATCTTGAGAGTTTTGGTATCCTTGAAGAATTGACAGTTGACTTTTCTGTTTGCTGAAAACGCACCATAAACCATGACCTACCCTTCTAGTTGCCTTCTAAAAAATCTTTTTCTCCTCTTTGATTAGGCCAATAGAATTGATTGCTTTCTGGGCCATCGAGATTAAATTTTTTCATTAGAAAAAATGACAACTTTCTATTTTTTTACTCCAGGTAACGTGACCTTTTGTCCACTTCAATCGTTGGTTTTTATGGAATTTGTTTAACACGGACGTAGTAATTTCTTGTAATATACGCAGCTGTATGAATCGTGTACGGAACCTCGTGGTTTTATATTATTTTGAATAAATGTATACAGAACGCGTGTTTGCAGGTTCTATTTAATGTTCCTAATCGTTCAAATCACAACCGATTCCTTTAAAATACAAATAACATTTTTATTTTGCAGACTTATTATCAATAAAATGGTTCACAATTACCTCATGTTTGATTGTAAAAATGGTTACAACATCGTCAATCCATACACCATAGCCAGCATGCGTAAGTATTTCTTAAATGATCGCGATTTTATAAATAGATTAAAGCAAATCCTCAAATATTTTGTTCCGACAAAATAATCCATGATTCTTCACAGATTTTTCAAAACAAAGAGATTGCATATGAAGCTACCAATTCAAACCCGAATAGAATGAGGTCAAAGTTAGGCTTTAAAGTTTAGCAATGAGACACTTGAAACCAGAATCAAAAGATTCGAAATATATGAGCTGACCAACTACTGAACTATCCACTAATCCGGCTAAATCTAATCAACGTAACAACTCTGTAAACCAATTGTTGTAAATGTTGAAAGTATAGAAAATGATTTGTTGAACCAAATAACTAAAAAATAAAATTATGTTTATCTTGTGGTTTTTCATTCAAGTTTACAGACGAAAGTTTGTTGGTTAAGAAAAATTATTAATAAAAATCCTGCGATCGATGCTTTAAATACTATTCTTGGAAATAAGTCATTCCAATTTTATTTGTAAATGGCATTTAGTTAAAGGATATAAAACACAATGATATTGTTACAGAAAAAATTAAACTAAATTTTTGACAAAGTTTATGGCAGAAGTGAAATTTATGCTGAGAAAAAATTGAAAAACAAGCCACTAAAAATTTTAAATTTGGCGAACTCACAGTCAATATGATTGCATAAAACTGCATTTTTTTGAGAAGAAATCTGTTGTAACGTCTTATCCTTTGTATATTAAGTTTGCCTATTTATAAAGTGATTTCACTGCCGTTGTTCTCATGACTGGAATACCAAAATATGTGGAACAAGAAAGTGAGTTCAAAGGTCAATCATTATAAAAATATAAATGTGATTCTCACAATTCTCAGTTGAATAAGTTCAAACAAAAGATTATTTTGATGATTGAAATTGAAGAAAAAAAATATTCTGGTAACAATTACATTAGATTGACATTTAACACCATTCAATTATGTTTTATAAAAATTATTGAAATAATTATAAAGAACAAGTTAGATGATTTATCTTACGGCGTTATTCATGTAAATAATTGTTCAACATTTTTGTCAATTTATTTTAAATTATTTTAATTTAACTAACTACGACCTGAAGACTTATAATTTTTATGACCAAAACCAATATAATAACCTGATATCAAACAGAAATTAAACAATTAAGTTTTCAAGATTTCTAAAAACTAAATTTTATTTAATGAAGACCGTGTTAGTCTGATTAATATAAATTTTACGTAGAATTAATAAAATAGTTATAATTGCTAAGAAAATCTTAACTAGTTTAAGAGGGTTATTGTATAGGAGTATGTGATGATACATATACTCATAGAGATTTGTACAAACATACAATACCAAACGTAAACACAAATAACGACACTATATGCGACACATACATAAGACACGTCACACACAAACATACATGCATAAATACGACACATACATTCATATGTGCACACAAAATTTTATACATATCTATTGTGTAGATAGGTTATTATATACATATTGAAATACCAAACCGATAAACTTTAAAACGCGTACATATGTACAATATACATTTACAGACAAATATTACATGCAGATCACATACATGTATGCTTGCATTCATCCATCAATATAAACATTCATAAATATATACATACATGCATACGTACATACATACATTCATACATACGTATATACATACACACATACATACATACGTGCATACATTTGTGCGAATTAGTAAATATATGCATGCATCCATCAACAGAAACTCCAGAAACTCCATATGTATGTACGTATGTATGTACGTATACATGTATATAAGTATGTGTACATATAGACATGTATGTGTGTATACACTTATACATTGTATATGCATAAGAGGAGAGACATTAAATTGTTTGTATGAGAGACTGGTATAAATAAAAGACGCAGGAGGCCGGATGAAAGAATCTTTTGAAAAAAAGATGCCGGTGATGACGATCATATTTATGTTGATGATGACGACGATGATAATTTCGAACAATTTTATAATTGTAATGATAATGATTTTACGATGATTTCATGTTAATGATGATGACGATGATTTCATGATGATGATGATGATTATTATTTTGAGGAATATAACAATGTTGATTTTTATTACAGCCTTATAAAACTGCTATTCTCAGTAAAACTTTTTAGAGTAATCTGGAGTTATTTATGCTTAAGTTTGGTTTATATTTTAGACTGTATAACTTCGTATATTTAAGAAATAACTTCACAACAGATGTTTCAACATTTTTCATCACATTTCTGTTACATTTACGTATTTTTAATTGGCAGTATTAGCAGTTTCCTCAATCATCTGACTTTTATCGATAACGTCACAGCACCACCTCCTTCCACGACACCATCCCCATAATTGCCACCCCTTCTCCCACGACTCCATTGTAGTCGCCACCACAAGGCAGCATAGTTTACAAACGTTTGACAACAACGTACTTTACGAAACGATATTAAAAACAACATCGTTCATGCGTACGTTACAAATCTGAAAGTGAACAATCAACGTAAAGTCGATGTTTTAAGGATAACATGAATAAGTTTGAGACAATCGTATTTGCGGCCACCAAATCTGCATTCATGAAAAACAACATGGTTAGCGACAACCAGACTATCATCAACAATAACATCAACAACAATATCATCAAAAACAACAACAACATCAACAAAAATGAAAACATCATTGAAGTTTCTTCAAACAAAAAAACAAATGCCGGTCAAAATTGCGGCGAGGCACGCGCACCAAGCAACTACAAAAATTTAAACGAAAGTGGCAAAAACAAAAACAATTCAGATATTAATAACAATAACAAAGAGTACAACGATAAACACGGAATTAATAATAATAATAACAACAAAAACAATAATAATAATAGTAATAACGACAATATCGACAACAAAAAAATTTCTGACATCGACCTGCTGGACAATGAAGATGGCGACATATCGACAACAGCAGCAGCAACCGCAAAAACAACAATAAGCAGAACGACCCAGGATGATCAAGTGACCTCCGTAGAATCGGCAAACGACTTGGAACTAGACCTGGCGTCCACTGATGAGATCAAGGTCTACAAAGATGAAGGTGATGATGAGGAAGGTGGGCGGTCAGTTGAAAACCTCAGCGAGGAAAAGTTGGATCTGGTCATTGAGACAGAAGAAGTGAGTAATACGATGACGAAGATGATAAAGTTTATGTTGGTGATGATGGCGTTGTCGTTGTTGAGGATGATGGTGTTGTTGTTGTTGACGATGATGATGATCATGATGATGGTGTTGTCGGCAATGGTTCAAATTCTTTTTATTCAATCATTCAGAAAAAATGATTAGGGGACCCAAAAAGAAAAATAATCCTCGGCAGGCCACCGTGCTTCTCAAGTAACTGAGATTTCTCAAAAAACATTTCTTCGCTAGAATTAGAAAAATAATTATAATGAATGAATGAGTGAAAGTTAATTTAGATCATAACAAAAAAAATAACAAAAGATTGCTTAGGAATTTAAAAGGATATCAAGATATAAGTTCATTTATATTTACTATAATTAGTCATGTAATTTAAAATTTATTTTAATCATTATGATGTGCATGACGCAGGCAGTCTTAAACCATGGTTATCCCGATACATCTAACATTGATACATGTCCTGAGACGTCCGTGCTTAAACACTAGCCTAGGCACACACACACGCTATCACACACGTCTGCATATATCCGTCCACACAATCAAACACACTTGCATACATTCACATGCACATTAATACATACACGTACACTTTTACACTTAATAACACAAATGAGGATGATAGCAATGATGGTATTGAGGTAAGGATGGTGGTGGTGATGATAGTGGAGGTGATGAGGGTGGTGATGGTTTTGAAAGTAGTACTGCTAAGACCTAAAAATAAAAATATTTTGAATTTAAATTATGCATCAAAAATGTTTTTGCAAACATTAATTCATGCTAAATGTAAATAATGTTTATTAATAAATTCAACAAGTAGTCGAATTCATGGATAACTTTTGAGGCATCGTGAAATGTTGCATACAAAACATTATCACTTGCTTGAATCTTAGTAACTTGGTGCTTTCATGTTTGATGGCTTCTCCAATTCAACGACTGATGCTTCACAGCCTGAACATCTTACAACAAAACTGCAGTAAACACTAAGTCGGCAACATTTCAAAAATTTCAAGTTACTTTTTCGTGGGTGTAAGTGCGTGAGTGTTCGTGTGTGATATTTATATCTTATTATTGTGTCGTGGTAAGAATACATTAATTCAATAAGAAATCGAATAAACTCTGCATTTACGTTTCTAAATTGTATATATATATATATATATATATATATATATATATATATATATATATATATATGTTTATAGTTAGCATAGTGACGAGAAGTAATGCAGAAATTATGGGAAGTCGATAATAATATTTAATGATATGACAATTTATTGAAGAATTATTAGATATTTAACAATTGGATATAGTATTATTTAGCAATAAATATGTATAAAGAAATATTAAGGCGTGGCAAATAATGAAGTTAGTGAACAAATTGTTTGGGTTTTATGGCGTGAAGAGACAAACGGATTGTTGTTAATGGTGCGTTCTTGTGTGTTATATTCGTATTTATATTTGGTGTATAGTTGCTGTCTATTGATGACGTTTGGCAATTGAGGCAGTACAACGTCGCGATATTGAGTAAAAAGTTGTAAGACGTGGGCGGAATTGTCTGACTGCGTGTTGATTGTTGGTTTATTATTGAGGATGAGAATAGCTTCTTTCATTTTGAGTCTTGAGGGACGACGTTCATTACAAAGTATGCTAGTGTTATTATCAAGAATTTTCCGAGTAACTGGTATGTTGTGCTGCTTATTGAAGTGATCCTTGATAGCGCCTTGCTGTACATGCATGGTAAGGCGTCTGCGAAGTGTTGTACGTGTGTGTCCAATATATGTTTCCACATCACGGTGTGGCAAAGGGCATCGAAATTGGTACACGACGTTCGTACTATCTAGATTATCTTTTGTAGTGGTTGGACTGTTTTTGATGACTAATTGTTGTGTTTTTGTTGTATCATAATATATTATTAACTTAATCTTTTTATTTTCATCTTCTGATGTGAGATTTGATCTAATGATTTGTTTAATTTGTTTTTCATCAATTAGATAGTTATTATGCATTTGATTTTTGTAGTAAATAGGTATTGTTTGTTGTTCCTGCTGTGGTTGTAGAAGTGGTTGTTTGAATTTCTTGAGAGATTTAGATATGACGTCGTCGATGAGTGTATTTGGATAATTATTATTAATAAGTAACTGTTTGATTCTTTGAATTTCTATGTGAAGAGATTCATCGTCGGTAGATAATTTAAAAGCGCGTGTGATGAAGTTTTTAAAGACGTTGTTTTTGTATTTGACGGGACAATCGGAATTGTAGTTTAAGCATTGTCCAGAGTTTGTTGGTTTGACGTATACTTGGGTAGAGAGCTGATTTGCGTGCATGGTGACTAAAGTGTCAAGGAAAGAGATTTTATTATTGTTACTAACTTCAATTGTAAATGATAAGCAAGAGTTGTTCTGGAACAGGTTTTGGAGTTGATATATGTCAGCTATAGACTTTGTGATGATAAATATATCGTCGACGTAGCGGGCGTAGATAAGCGGTTTGTTTTCTGGTTGTTATTCATTTATTTATTCATTTTAATATCTAATATTCTATTTTCTATTTCTTATAATTTATATTATTAACTTCTCATTTGGTTTTACAATCTAGGCTCCGATGATGGCATTAGCCGAAACGGCCGTCAGCCAAACTTCACAGTTTAATAAAGTTGAAACAAAACAGCTTCGTGTTGTTGAAATTTTATTTAAAAAACTTCTAACTGCAAAATGGGGTGTAATCTTCAACCGAACATGTTTATCTGAGAACCTCATACCAAATTATATATATATACATATATATATATATATATATATATATATACTTGAGCAATTGACCACATACACAACCTATCAATTCGAACAACAACAAAATATATAATATAATTAAATCAGCGTTAAGTATTCATTTCTAACAAACAAGGAATCAACAAAGTAGAGTAGCGACAGTGTATATATATATATATATATATATATTTGAGCGTCTGATCACAAACACAACATATCAATTCGAACACCGAAGATGGTATAGGAATACCGAAAAAAGCTTTTCTGTTCTATCATGCATAAAATAAACAAAAATTTTGTTTTTGAACTCAAGAAACTTGACAATGGTCAAAAAATTAAATAGGAAGCTAACTAACACGAAATAGCTGTGGTTTTCATAAATAACTGCATATATTAATTTATTAATATAATTTGTACGAATTTTTCTTAATTTATGTAATTGATATCCGTTATTTTTCGTTGAAATTGTATCGTTTTGATTTAATTGAGGTTCTAGAATTGGATTACTTTCTCATTTGTTAATTTTGTTTAAAAATAAGAAGTTTGAGTTTCGTTTGCTGGTTGATTTAAGGTCACCTTGACTTTGTTATTGAAGTTTACTTTTAATTATGTCTAAGGGACACTGCGTCAAGTGTAAAAGTGGATTTAAGAATACGAAAGAAACTGTGGTGAAATGTTGTTTTTGTGATGGTTCCGTTCATACTAAATGTCTTGAGTATGATGATGAAATGTTACGAATTATTAACAGTTGTAAAAATGTAAAGTATTTTTGTGATAATTGCTTGTTGTATTCGGACAATTTGAAATCTCTCAGCATATTGATTGAGAAACAGGATGACTGCAATAGGCAGTTGAAACAAATTATGGATAGCAGTAATGAAATCAGGAGTCAGTTGAAACAGTTTAAGACTTCTGTTGATCAAAATTATGATAAATTGGATCTTATTAAAGCAGATGTTGACTCATTACTTGATAAATCTACTGCTAAAGTTAAAAGTGAGTTTGATAAATCAATAAATGTTGTCAAGAAAGAGTTTAGTTCATTGTGGACCGATGTTGTGAAAAATAAATTGGAAGTAGTAACTAATGAAGTCAAATCTGTTAAACACACGTTAGATGTATCCAATGATAGCAAAGAACGGGAGAATAACATGGTTATATTCAATTTGAAGAAATCTGAAAATGCTGGCAAGGATAGAGATGTTGTCATGTTTATTTTGATGTCAATGACAGAGGACAAACTTAATGATGCTGATATTCTGGTAATAACTCGTCAGGGACATAGACGTGACGGAGTTTTGAGGCCTGTCATCATCAAATTCAGTAATGCTGTATCGAAAATGTTGACGCTTAAGACATCCTTCAGAATTAAGTTGCTTGAAGGTGACTTAAAAAATATTAGGGTAAGTCATGACCTAAGTCCTGAACAGCGTGTTGAATTGAAATCGCTGTTGGATACAGCCAAGTCTAAAAATGTTGAAGATAATGATTTTTTATACAGGGTCAGAGGCTCTATCGGACGGTGGAAAATAATCAAGTTTCCCAAAGTAGTCACTGCTCAATAATTAAAATGGGTTTGTATAATATGAGGTCTATTGCTAATAAGCTTGGTGTCATTTATGATTTACTGTCTGATGATCTTGATTTCTTTGTTGTCGTTGAGTCCTGGCACGGTTCTTTAGATCATAATATAATCCAGTTAGCTATGCCGCCTAATTATGTTTATGTTGATCGTTTAAGGCCAAATGATCCCTATCATGGTGGCATTATTGTCTTTCTTAAGTGTTCTTTTGGTTTTAGGAAAATTGAGCTTCCTGTTGTTCAAACATTTGAGGCACTGGCCATTGTTTTTTCATTGAGAAATTCTAAAGTACTTTTGTTGTCCATTTATCGTCCTGGGTATGAATCTGTCTCTGCGTTGTTCTTTAGTGAATTTACTACAATTATGGAGTATATTTCTGTGTGTGCTGATTTGTTGTTGATAGTAGGTGATTTCAATATACATATTGAAAGATTGAATGACAGGAATACAATTTCTTTGTTGGATATTTTTGAATTGTTGGTCCTACCCATTCATCTGGTGGTACACTTGATCTTGTTGTTTCGTCTGCTGATTTTCCTTCTTGTGATTGCGCAGTCTTTCCTAGTAATGTCCATTCTGACCACAGTTTTATCAGAGTTGATTTTCCGTTTGTTCATCGTCGGACGAGGATTGTTAAACGATTGGTGCGATCATGGAATAGGATTGATAGTGAATTATTTGCCCGTCTTGTTTCCCAGTCTTTTGTTGGTGGTCCTTTTACTGATGGTGATCCAGAGATTGTTTATTCAAAATTCATGTCTAGTATGCAGTCAATAATTGATGTTGTTGCCCCGTTGCATTATGTTAAAACCAATAGCTCCCATAATTCTCCTTGGTTTGATGATCAGTGCAGAATATGCAAAAGATTGTGTCGTAAACTTGAACGTGTTTATCGTCATATCCCGAGTGAGGCTAATAAAATTGCTTGGAGAAATGCACTAATGAACAAAGTTCTCTTTTCTCGGACAAAAGGAATTTGTATTGGAAAAATTTGATACAGATGAATAAGTTCAGGCTTAAATTATTGTAAGTTAGTAAATTGTTTGGTAAATTCTCGGATAGCTATAGTTTGAGTGAATCAATTAATTTTACGCCATCTGATCTGATATATATATATATATATATATATATATATATATATATATATATATATATATATATATACAGTAAAAGTCCTCTAGAGCGGGACCCTAAAGAACGGACAGATAAGAGTAACGGACAGTATTGCTTGGCACGGAACCGTTTTGAATGTTAAATAGACCCTAAAGAACGGACATTTTAAAGGAACGAACTACGGACAGGGTTTTAAGTACAAATTGACTTTTATGTCTTAAAGAGTGGACAATTTATAACAAAAACACATGGAATATTTGATAAAATGCGCCATCTAATTTGAATATTTGTATTTATTCTATTCTATGGAATGCGCTAAAGAAACTTTGATAATCTTTGGTTATTTAAAAAAAATTATTTTCGCTCTTTGATTTTTTATCGCGGTCGTGTTGATAAACTGTTGTGTAATAATGGAGTCGACTCTGCGAAAAAAATTTTTAAACTTGGAAGAAAAAATGCTGGTGGTGAAAAAATTAAATGATGGAGTTAGCATACGAAAAATTGCTGAAAAATTTGGTTGCGGAAATACAGATGTGCAGCTGATTGAAGCTGATCCTACCATAACCAGCCTTTTGAATTCTGTTACTTGGGATAATTTTGTAACCATGGATAACAATGATGACTCAATCCATAGCCCACAAAGTTCTGAAAATCATGAACAATTTGAAGTCCAAGATGATGAAGAGGAAGAAGAGGCTCCAGTCCAAGAAGTTTCTACAAAGATGGCATTACAATGTGCCAGGAAGCTAACTTCCTATTCGATACATATGGGCAATAGAGAATTGTTACAATTTTTTGAGAACATTGAAAATATTTTAGAAATTGAATTGTTAAAAACAAAATGTTTTGGCAAACAGACAACTATGAATGATTTTCTTCCATAACAATATTAAAAACGTGTTGTTTTATTTTAATTTTTTATGTAGTATATCAAAAAAGATTTTGATGTTGAGTCTTGAGGAGAGGACAGTTAAGAGGAGAGGACAGTTTGGTCATTCCCCAATGGTGTCCTCTCTAGAGGACTTTTACTGTATATATATAGGCAGTTATATATATATAACTGCATATATTTATATGCATATATATATATATAATATATATATTTTGCATCGTATTTCATCATCGTTTTTTAACTTATTTATATAAGAAACAAATTTTTAACTACATTTTTATTCATTTTTATCTTATACAATTTTATTCATTTTATCTTTCCGTAATCCTTTACCATTTTTATCAACTATTGGTTGTATCTTATTTATACTGATATTTGTGCGATCCAAATTAATTGGCTCCAAAAATTGACATTGCGTTAAAAACTTTATTTTCTATATAAATAAGTTAAAAAACAACAGCAGTTTCATCAACAATAATCACAGTCTCAACAACAATAACTAGAGTTTCATCAACTATAACCGCAGCTTCATCAACAACAAAAGCTTCTAAACAACAACATCATTTAGACAATAACAGCTTCTAAACAGTAACAACGCAATAGCTGGTAAAGAAAAATTCACCACTAATTAACATAAGTTTTTTATGCTTTATGCTTTATTATGCAGTTCTATCAAACACAGTGCTGCGCACATGTTATTCTACACTTTTAATTAAATCTTCGTGCCACAAGGCTGTACCATCCACACCACACCACACACACTAAGTACGCACGCGCAAGCACCTCATCAAACACAAATGGCGTATTCCTGCTCTATGAGTTTCGGACAGACGGTATGAACTAACTAGGTGACCTAATTGCACAACAAAACGTCAACAACAATATCACCCCCACCCTTACATACAACATCAAAAGAATCAACCTGATTTGTTTAACTGTTATTAACTAACTAACTCATTAATTTTCTGTCATTGTTTTTATTCTTATCTTTTTATGTCTAAAAATTTTATTATTTCAATTACTTTTTTTAAAGAAATATTCCAAAATAACTCATGGAATTCATAGAGCATAACATTCATCAACGAATAACGTTTGTATTGGCACTGGTTTCAATAACTCAAAAAATAAATAAAAAACAGCATTTAAGTTAATGATTAGATAGAGCAAGTGCTTGCTTGCCTTGCTTTTGTAAGCAATAAACTTGATAAGTTAATAACCTCTTACAATATTTTATGTTCGTTGTTTGCTTTTTATCTCAATTCATTAAATTTTTCTTTTGAAGTACATTTTGATTTGACAAGATAAATTATTTTAATATGAATATTTTTTTAGGAAATGGTTTATTAAAACATTAGCAAAAATTTCAATCAAGGTTTATATATATATATATATATTTATTTATATATATGTATTGTATATATATACATATATTTTTATATATGTATATATATATATATATATATATATATATATATATATTCGCTTTTCTGAATAGACTGATTGATTTTCTTATCGAAATATATTATATATATATATATATATATACTTTGTACTATTTGTGTATATGTGTATGTGAGATATATATATATATATATATATGTGTGTGTGTGTGTGTGTGTGTGTTTGTGTGTGTGTGTGATTTAATTTTCAACAGCATTATAGCAAATCAATATTATTTTTAAATTCTTTATTTGTTTTGAACAATTCGGCGTTCAACTTAGCTATCTTACAGTGTAGTGGCGTGGTGTACTTGGTCCTTCTCCGCTCATTATGCATATTCTGACCTCTAGTATTATATTGTCCTTTAATTTTTATTTTTTTCGTATGCTGATGACTTCCATCTCTATAAGTAGTCCATGATCTCTTCCACATCTTCGTGTTTTACGGCTGGTGAATTTTGGTCCTCCTCCGTCGTGTCGTTTAAAGTTAAAACTTAAGGTTTGAAAATATTTATTTTGATTGCTTATGAAAGCTTAATTTTGCCGTATGCTGTTCTCTCATTTGCCACAAAACTTTTATCATCTGCTGCAATCAAATTCATTCGGTTACCAAACACATGACCGTTCTCTTCATTTTAGTATAGCTTGCTATTATTTCGAGACGCGATGGTACAATGGTAAAAATGTCTAGCGCTGTTGATGATGTTGCAATGACCGTGTTCCAATGCAAAGACATCCCCGCTTACCACAACATCACAAGCAAAGTTTTTGGAGCATTAATTTTGATTTACGTGTCTTCCTTTACATCGTGTTTTTACCGATAATGCTGAACAATACAAAATAACGAATATCTTCCGAAAAATGTTTAGGAGTGAGTTTGAATAAATAAATTAATAAATGAATAAATAAATGTTGCTTAAACTTTTTTTTATGTGCCCGTATGTGTGTTTTTATGCATGAATTTAAGGGTTTTTATTTTTACAAGTATGTGCAATATGTATGTTGTGTAAGGTGTATGAATTGAATAGTTATACATATTTTTTGCTTGTATGCTGTTGTTGTTTATGTTAAAAATGGCTTTTACTTTGGTGCAGATGGTGTGGTTTTAGATACAACTAGAGAATGCAACAGTTTGGATAGTACAGGGTCTGCTTAAGTTTTAGGGTGTAGCGAATGAGTTGATGGGACTACGTTGGTTGCCATGTCAGAGTATAACAATTTAAATTGCAGCTGCATTAACGGTCAATGCCAAAGTTATTTTAGCCAGACATTATTAAGCAAAATTGACAATCGAAAAAAAATCATATGTGATGTTTATCAACAAAATGATTCAATCGAATAATATTTTTGTTTTCATTTTTGACTTGGTTGTTGATCACAAATTTAATCAGTTTTGTTAAATGCCCAATCTTGGACCCTGACATACTCCGGCCACTAGCTGTTGCTAATTATCACATCCACATATTTGGCATTTACGCACAAACGAAAAGAAGTCGATGGGTGCAAATTATCCAACCTTCTCTCGTTCATGCTCTTTTTGAAAGCAGGGTAGCACGATAAAGCCTCAACATTGATTGACTTGAGGTAAACAAGCGCATCGGCTGCCACGCATTTAGTGACGTTGCTGACATGAAATATTCTTTTATGAACGAAGACTTTACTCGCTGAAAATCACGATTCGCCAGAAGGCTTAGAACCAACACTTACTTTAGAAAACGTTTTCAATACAGTTGACGCAACATTTCTTGCACGTTTTTTTTAATTTTAACCAAAATATGATCTCCACTGTCAGCAACGGCATTTGATTTTGTCTGAGGCGGTTTTTCATTAATACTGCCAACACTGTTTTTGGCAGCTATGTTGTTTCTTTGAATAAATCAATTAGACTAGGCTTGTTTATCTGTAGCTGTGCAAAGGTTTTTTGTATATCACTCGGCGAGTTGTATTCAACTGGTTTGTTAACTAGCAGCTGTACGTTCGTTCCTAATTCATTCGAATCGTCGCCATTTTTTATTTCAGTATATTCAACATAGGCTCCATGTTTTTCGCAACTGCTTGACGAGTTCTAACGCCCGGAGACTTTAGTTTATATATAACGCAACTTAAAAATAGCCAGAGAGATCTTGACAATAACGAGAAAATAATTCACTACAATAACAATCCACACAATCTAAGGATTGCAGAATCTTTGCTCATCAAACAAATACATCCAGCAATAGATAATATAGCAATTTGTATAACTATTCATACACTGTAAACAGACATACTAATGCGCATACTTATAAAAATAAAAGCACTTAAATACATGCATACACATACATACGTGTTCATAAAGTTCAGTAACATCAAGATCACGTTTACATTCAGCGACTAATAGTAAAATGCAGACGCAGTTTTTTTTGACGCCGCTCCAAACGTCTGAGGAACTTGTTGCAGCTAGATGTTTGTAGAGCTGCTTTTTGGAACTTTTCAAAAAATGGCTATATAACAAGCTTTTTAATGACAACTGTTGCTATGAATAAATAAATAATAAATGGCATATTCATGGCATTTGTGCATATAAATAAATAAATAAAAATATGCATTGGGTATATAAATAAATATATGCATAGTATATATATATATATATATATATATATATATATATATAATATATATATATAACCTGGCATGTTTTTAAGGAGCGTTTAAAAAGTTTTCTGTTCAACAATTCACAGCAAAGATTGTGCTTCTGAGGTTCTTTTAAGAGAGGCGCTATACAAGTCATGCAATACAATACAATATATAAGTCGTCTTGACTGTTTCATTACCGGAAGAACGGGTAATGGCTATTATATCTTACCCATAAGCGATTATCATATTGTATTGTATTGCATGACTTGTATAGCTCCTCTTCTGAAAGTACCTAAGAAGCGCTAGATATGCTGTAGATTTTTAAACAGATGATTTTTTGAACGCTTCTTAAATCCTCTCAAGTTATGCTGTCAGTTTTTTCAGTTTATAGTGCAGACCGGGACACTGAACTTGCTTTGACAGTGAACAAAATGCGCATAATACCAAAAAAGGTGCACTACTTAATGAAGAAATGACGTACACGCATTGACACCAATTGTATCAGCAATTCCAAAAAAACTAAGAAGTACATCATCGACCTAAAGGATTTTTTCAGTGAGAAGGCGACAGCAGATGATACTTCTGATTAAAATAGTCGCATTTACGCAACACCGTTTACATTTCTGCCATTGCTATTTATGGGAAAAGAGAACGCTAGAATGTTAAATGGTATGAAGTCCGCTGGAAAGAAATAAGACGAGTTATCGATGCTAAAAAAAGAGCTCTTATGGCTTATCAAATTAAGCTCAATACCAGGACGCTGTTGACTTTAATAGCAGCTAAGAGTCAAATTCAGCAGACCGCTGGGCCAACACTTACTGGCTGAAACTCTGGGATAGTATTCAGGTGGCTGCCAATGCGGGCAACGCAAGAGGAATATATGTAGGCTTTAAGAGAGCAACAGACTCAATCTACAATAAATCAGACTTAATCAAATCTAAAGCGGATGTGTTCATTACAGACTGGAAAAACAAAAATGCCGCGGTGGACCGAACATTACCATGAGCTTTATAGCAAATTTAACTGCCATAAACACTATTTTGTACTTACCAGTAATAATAGAGTTGGACTTCATGCCTATTATAAAGGAAATTGACAATTGACAAAGCCATACCATACCTGTGGAAAGGCACTTAGAGGAACGGAATTCTTTCGAAGTTTTGAAAAGCGAGAAACAGATCCCTTGCTACTTTGTTTCTGCTGAAAACAGGGTAACATTAAAAAGCCAACATCATAACTCTGTATAAAAACAAAAGAGGCCGGAGTAAATGTGACAGCTACCGTGAAACCTTTTTTTGGTGTCATTGGCAATTGGCAAAGTTTGCTTGAGTCGCTCGTGTCGCTTGTAGGCTTTTGCTTTCCAAGTATATCCGGACTCTTAATGCTGTTTTAAAGCTGGCCGATCAACGGTGGGTGTGCGCTTGCACTTGTTGACATTTTTTTCCGTGCCTCATCAGCACGTATTAAGGGATTGATTGATTGACTGAATGACTGATGATGATGATGAATTGATTGATTTCTTTATCTATTGATTAAAAAAATGGAAGCCCTGCGAAGAATATTTCATTCTGACACATTTAAACTGAAAATATAATTTAATCTAACAAATAATTTTTTCATCCAATATTTATTTTGAAAAATTCTAAACATACATTTTCATTGCAAGCAAAAACTCAAAAAACTGAAATGTAGTGAACTTTTCATGAAGAAGAATGAAAAAAACCTCATTGTAACGTTGATTCTCACACATGATCAGTCTTGTATGAGTCACACGATTGTTTTTTGCATTTCCGATCACATTTGCACCGGTAATATTCAACGTTGAATAAGGGGCAAAAAAGATGCCTCTACAATGCCACGGTGAAGACAAACTACATTCTAAAATGTATTCTCTAGTCATCTAAGACATTCGGCAGTTTTCCTGCATAAATATGCATTTATTAAAATTGTTGAAATTATTACCAATTTATTAAATTGTTTTTGTGTGTAATACCTGAAGCCACTAAAAATTACGCACACGTATAAACACAAGCACACTCGAAAAAATCTATGTATAAAAATATAACGTAACGTTTTATGTTTATATATATATATATATATATATATATATATATATATATATATATATATATATATATAAGATATATACCTTTACAAGTAGACACGCTACTTATACTGAAACACAACTCGATATGAGGATAACTTAATTATTTCTCCTGTCCACACACGCAAGCACGAACGCATACGCGCGCGTGAACTTCTATTAGCACATATTTGGCTCTTCATCAATATGTTGTAGGTAGGTTGCAGGGTGTCTGGATCGATGTCGCAGCCCGAGTCCAACAATTTTTTCCGACTCCGTTTGCGGAATAAGTGTTGAAAATTTGAAAATCCATTTTTTTCTGAAGGTCATTTTATAAATTCGCGTTTCGAAGAAGACAACTGTGCGCAACAACATCCAACCAACCATAATAGCCATAACGGATGACATTTTCACTTTTAAAAAGTGATGAATAACATTGCATCTCCTACATTGCCCGTTATATAAAACTTGTATAGCGTTTGTCACAAAAACAAAATCAAACACTCAAAAAAGCCTACTATTTTTTGGGAACCTTTTTTATGGAGAATCAGGACTACACCCAGACTCTAGTCTGCTGTTGCAACTATTTCAAATAAACTGCTGTAGTTCATATTTAAGACCTCTACGTTCATATTTAAGACTCTTACAATATGTAACAAATAATATTATGTGACAGCGGTATTTGAATGAAAACATCATGTTTTTCCCACACTGAGCCACTTAATTTAATTTACTTAAGTGAAATAAGAGAGATTATTAAAAATGTATGAATCAAAATTTAATTTTGATGCAAAACGAAACAAATCAGCCATGCATGCTTAGTAGAAAACATTAAATCACAATAGCGTCTTCTTTTATTCAGTAGTTTCAATTTTTAAAACATTAGTACATTGAGTTATTAATTAATTCTTAAATAACCCAGTTTAGTTCCAGATTAGCGTATAAAGTTTAAATGGATATGTTGTCATTGTTAACGAACCTTCTCCTGATGATCCTTTACTAAAAAATTTGCAATTTAGCGTTACAGAAGGGCATATCATTTTTTTAAACAGTAACATGTCACAAGTTGGTTCAATTGAATTTTATTTATACTGCTAACTTCTGGCGATAAGTCGATATTTAGATCTCCCAAAAGATAAACAAATTTATTTTCATTACTAGTTATTTGTAAAACTTGTTCTAATTCTTTAAAATATTGTTTAATTTCGTATATTGGAGGTCGATAACTAACCATCACAATTGAATTTTTAGATTTAAAATTGTTAATGATCTCTATTGCAAACATTTCAAACTTTGGCGAGCCAATGGTATTTAAATCATCTCTTATTCGAAAGATAGAATCATTACAGACATAGAAACCAACCCCTCCACCGTGTTTGTCATGACGATTTTTGCCTACATATCTATATTCATCCATGCCAACCAAACTTTCAGTACGTTCGTTTAACCAGCTTTCTGTTATCGCAACTACATTGAATTTGATGTGACTGTTTGACAAATAGCTTTCTAATTCATCGGTTTTGTTGACCAAACTTCTTATGTTCAAATGCATTACGTTGAAAAACATACTGCTATCAAAATCTTTATTTATTAATTTATATTCATCATTCAACGACTTAAAATTGTCATACCTTTTACATGTAGTTTGCTTGGGGTTTAAATTGTCTTTTTCTTCATCATCACTGCTGTCATCATCATTATCAACATGTTGTTTATCCATCTTTTTTTGATCGACAATTGTTTCTGGTTTCTTATTGAATTGCCACCCGCTTACTATAATGTGCTGGGGCATTATGTCAGGGTCTTTCATTTTCTTAGAATCAGATCTATCGATGCAAAGTCTAAACGTACTGTATTCTTCTTCATCTGTTTTTTTATTTTCAGTTTGACTATTATTATTGTTATTGACGTCGGCTGTAGAAGCTGGTGCCATTTTATTGAATTGTTTGAGTACGGAGTAACAGGAAACAACATGGATACCATTGTCGGTTAGGTAGGCCATCACATCATTTCTGTGGCACTTGCTGACGTTGCTTAAACAGAACACAAATTTTTTCATTAAAATTTTATCTGCCTTCAGTTTGCAATCATTTGAAACTTTTTTACCGATTATTTTCATAGCTTTTTTTTCCAGTTTGTTTGTTGTTTGTTGGGTTGTTGCTGGTTTCTCCTGAGTTTTTTTGTTTCTCACAATTGTTGTTATTTTAACGTGATTTTTTTCCGTTTACAGTTGACAACGGGGTACCGTTGTCTTCTGACAGAGAATTTGCTATGTCTGACCACAGAGAACTACTGACATTTTTCTTTTGTCCCTCCTTGTTTGTCATTTCAGTACTGTAGTTACTTACAACATTAAAATTTAATTTATTTTTCAATGTATTTACTTCTGGTGTATTAATATCAGCAGTTTTAATAACATTTTTTAATGAAATAATATCAGTTTTATTACTTTCAACAGTTTCAATAACTTTGTTAAATTGCACCTGTTATTTGTGCAATATATCTTTTAATTCTAGTTTGATAGTTTCAAAGTTCAATGTTAACAAATTTTCAGACTTTGGAATTTTATTTAAATTACAACTAACAAATAATGGACATTTGTCCCAACATTTGTTTTCTTTCAACTGTTTAATTAACGATATACATTCCAATATTTTCGCAATTTTCATGTTCCCGCGCGACTGCAATTTTTCACTTTTTTTCAATTTTAAAATTATTTAATTCACTTTTTAGCAATTTAATTGCATTTACAATATCTTCATGAATATAAAATACAGATATATTATTAATAAACGTTTCATTCTCAACTAAATTCCAATTATTTTCTAAATAATACAGGAGCTCATTTATTACAAGCGACCTGGACGCCATTTTTCATATACATCACTGCAACCATAAAGCAGTTAAGGGAGCACAACTGCTCTGTAAACCGCAATTTTGGTGGCCAGAGTAATTCTGTGCTCTTTCCAAAGCATACCAGCATACCAAAGCAGATCAAAGCAGATCAGCATACCAAAAGCAGCACCTGCTTTGGCAAGCCTTGCTGTAATATTATCATCGATAGTTACATTGTTGGGAATATATCAGCCTAGATAACAAAATCTATCAACAGAATTGAGACGCGAGTCGTCCGCCATTACAAGGGCCATTGTCCCAACAAAACTGGGTAGCTCTGATGCAAGACCTCAGTTTTCTTCAGACTGACTGTAATTCCAAATCTCTTAGCTGTTATATAGAAGCGGTTGAACAGCGTCTGAATCTCAGCCTGTGTGTGTGCTACCAGTACACAATCATCAGCAAATAACAGGTCCCAACAGTAGAGATCTATGCTTTGGATTTCGCTTGCAATCGTTTGATATTAAAAACATCTCCATCCATACGGTAGCAGATTGGTATTCCCTCACTACCGTGACAAAAAGCAACTCGGAGCATCAATGAAAAGTAGATGCTGAACAGCAATGAAGCCATAACACATCTTTCTTGGTTTTGTTTGTAACATCAAAATCCTGAAACCGTTCACCATTTTCAATCAAACTCGCTTTCATACCTTCATGGAAGGAACGAACAATGGCAACAAAAACAAAGGGGCAACCAATTTTTGACAAGCAGCACCAGAGTGCTGACCTATCAACCGAATCAAACGCCTTGGTCAGGTCAATAAACACCATATACAGTCCCCGTTGCTGCTCGTGACATTTTTTTGCAGTTGCCTTGCAGTGAATACCATATCGGTTGTGCTGCGTCCGGCTCTGAATTCACACTGACCTTCCGGAAAGATATCTAGATCGTTGACATGTTTTGCCACGCGTTCAGCAATCACTCTGGCTAGTATCTTCCTAGGTATAGAAAGCAGGGAGATTTTTCTGTGGTCGATCACCTTTTCATTTAAATATATGAACATGCATACATACAAACGTACGTAAGTACGTACGCACACACGCACACACGAACACACACATACATACATTCATACATACATTCACGCACACAGACAGAAAAGATGTTCATCTGCATATTTACCCATTTGCTAACTACTGACTGACCTGGTGTGTTATTTACGAGACACCACATCAAGCCAAAATAATTTATTGTTTATGATAATTGCTCGACTCTGTTGTGCTCGTGTGTGATGTGCCTCATTACGCTTCTTATGTCCGCATAATCATACAACATCGCAAGATTATATAAATATATCAATGTATGCTGCTTACTTACGTTGTCGGCTTGTATACTTGTGAGTGCGTGAGTGTTTGTGTGTGTGTTTGTGTGTAACTTGTTCACATTTTATATTATGCATGTGGGTGTTTGTATATATATATATATATATATATATATATATATATATATATGTATGTATATATATATATATATATATATATATATATATATATATATATATATATATATATTCGCTTCTCTGAAAAGACTGATTGATTGTCTTGGATGAGTATGAATCAGTTAAAGTTAAATCAATCTAAGACACAAATATTACCGGTGGGTTCATGGCAGCAGCTGTCAAAAGACAAAATTTCATCGATCTGTATTGGCAAGGACATCATTGAATTTTCTACATCTGTCCGTAGTCTTGGAGTTGTTATTGACTCAAACCTAAAGATGGATTTACATATTAATAATGTAGTGAGGGTCTGCTCCAACCAACTCCGTTTATTACGCAATGTCAAAAAATCACTAAACACGTCTGTTCTTCAAAGTTTGATTTCCTGTTTAGTTTTTTCTAGACTGGACTATCGCAATGGTTTTTTAAATGGTGCCATCAAAAGGTCTTTTTCAAAGCTTAAGTCAATACAGAATCATGCGGCCAAGCTGGTTTTGGGTGGTTCGTGTATTACGTAATCTTCTTATGATTATGAAACAACAGAGAGTGTAATGAATTGGTGAAGCATTGGTTAGCGGAGATCTCATCTGTTTTTCAATTGAACGATGAACGTTGAAATATTTCGATAAGTTATATTAAAATATTTTTTAAATTGTTATTAAAAAGTTGAAAATAAGTTATTATTTAAAGATTTTTATAAACTATTATTAAAATATTTTCATAAATTTATTATTAATATATTATGATTAATTTTCTCAACACACGAAACTAACTTACACATGAGTGATTAAAACTACTAACAAATACACACGCAGAAATATGATTCTATTTAATTGCTGTCAAGAAATTCTTGATATCATCATCAGCATCGTCGTAATGGTCATTGTTAATTTAATCTTAATAAATCATCATAATTACCATTCTAGTATCATCATTGTCATCGGTTTCATCATCAACTACGTTATCAATAATTATCATTATTTTTTCATCAATTCACCATCATCGTCATCATAACATCATCATCATTATCATCACCACCACTACCATCATCATCCTCATCATCATAACATCATCACTACCATCATCATCATTGGCTTTATCACCACCACCATCATTTAATCATTATCGGCTTCACCACCACCATCATAACGTCATCATAATCATCATCACTGACTTTTACACCGTCATATTTTGCACCATCGCCATTACATTAGCATCATCATGTGAAAGCACAGAGTAACAATACACTACCACATGTTCCCACGTTTTGCAGGGCAAGAGTTCTGACACTGAAGAAGGCAAAACACCAGCTGAGGAAAATTCTGAAGGGCCACTATTTGGATGTCAGTAGCTCAGCTGTTTATCTTTTTGTTTGCCTCATTGAACCTTTGTTTGTCTGTTAAATTTTCAATCTGTTTATATCATATATATTTACTTGTTTGTTTGTGTGCTTGTTTGTTTGTTTGTTGTTTGTCTACCTCTGTATGTTTGTCTATTTTTCGTCTGCTTGTTGGACTGTTAGTTCTTCAATGAATTTATCAGTCTGTTGATTGCTGCTTGAACTTTTGTACATGGCTAACTATTTGTTTGTTACCTGTTTGCTGTTTATTTATTGTATGTTGTTTATATGTGTGTTGTTTAATATAAAATATGCTGTTTGTCAGTTTTTGTATGCCATTTAGTAACATGTTGCCCGTTTGTTTATATTATTAATATTTGTTTTTTTATATTGTATTTATTATTAGTCTTATTGTATTATTTTACGTTTAAATAATTTGCTATATTGTTTGTTTTAAATATTCTTATTTATTTATTTATGTTTTCTATTGGTTTATGTTTTTTATTGGTTATTTTTTGTTGATGTTTTTTCTTTGTTGATGTTTTTTCTTTGTTAGCGTTTTTTTGTTGAGGCTTCTTATTTGCTGATGTTTATATTTGTTGATGTTTTTATATTACAAATTTCTTTGTTGATGATTTTTCTCTGCTAATGTTTTTTTTATGTTTTTTCGTTATTATTTTTACCGTTCAACTGATCCTTGATTGATTGTTTATTGATTGTTTGCAGTTTTTTTGTTGATTGTATTTTGTTGTCAGTGTGGCTTGCATGGGATTTATTAATGATTAATGTTTTTGTTGTTTCTGTAGTTGTTTTTGTTGCTGTTTTTGTTTCTACACAGTTTTCTTCAACATTATTTTATTAATATTATTCGTTAGCCCAAATTCTTTTTGTTTATCAGCGTTAACAAAGTAGCATTTATTTTAAAACCACAAAAACTAAAACGTTTTATATTAGATTACAATGAAATTGTTTTAATTTTAATAATTTTAATGAAATTTCAGCCAAACTACACAAGTATTCCTTCTTTGATCGTCTGCCCTTTGGTTACCCCATTCTCTCACCTTACCCTCACTATCCTTCATCATCTCCTCTTGTCACAAACCACGTGAGTTTTCATGGTTATTGTTTAAAATTAATTATTTTTTTAAAGTTTTAATAATTTAAAATGATATATATATATATATATATATATATATATATATATATATATATATATATATTAGGGATGCACAGGATTCAGGTTTTTCAAATCCGGCCGGGGCCGGACTTGGCCGGATTTGAAATTCAAAAACCGGCCGGGGCCGGAGCCGGGGCCGAATTTTAGTTACCATTTTACATACGTTAGAAAAAATACTCACATTTACGGTTATCTACATGTTGAACATCAAAAAATAACACCAAGCAAATAGTTATTTAATTCAAATATATGAATAAGTTGTGTGATACGCCAAATTCTGTACACAAAGATCAGCTTATAATTTATGCATATTTGCATAACCCAAGTTAAAGCACAAAGAAAATTGTCCAGCTCACCGCACAATTAGTCATGTTGTAATTATGTGTCATGTATACCTAGCCTAACTTTAACATACCATGTTCTTAAATTATGTGCTTATGTATCTCTCACTCTCTCTCTCTCTCTCTCTCTCTCTCTCTCTCTAAATATATATATATATATATATCTTTATATATATATATATATATATATATATATATATATATATATATATTATGTAACTATATGATCCGTCATGTGCAATTATCAATATATGGTATATACACGTGACAAGTTCTTTTACACAAAGATCAGCTTATAATTTATGCATAACCCATGTTATAGCATAAAGAAAATTGTCCAGATCACCTCACAATTAGTGATGTTGTTATTATGTGTCATGTATGCCTTTAGCTTAGGTTTAGCCATTAACTTATTGACATAAAATTAATTGAATTCAATAAAATTTTTTTTTCTATTTCTAACATTTTTAAAAGTTGATAGACGCTTAAATCCGGCCCTAAATCTGGCCACCAAATCCGGTAGTTTTGCTAAAAGTTCTTACTTTCACCTACGTTAAATAAAAAAACTTTTGCCTTTTCTTGACGATCTCCTTTTTTCCTTCTTGTTATTTCATTCGTTTTATCTAGGATTAATTATTGTAACTCGCTCTACTATGGTCTTTCTGATTCTACACTCTATCCTTTCAGAAAAGCTTTTAACGCTGCAGTTCATCTGGTTGTTCATACTCCATATCTTGCTCTCTTGCATTGGCTACCTATAAAATATAGAATAATTTTTAAATTTTTCTCAGTAATGTACAAGTCTCAATCTAAATTATTTCTTAAGTACTTATCATATATATTCATTAAATCTAACGGCCCCAGTTCACGATCGTCTTCTTGTTCTCACTTTTTCTTAACTCGTGTTAAGCACTCTTTTGCCAAATCTGTATTTGCTTTTTCTGGCCCTTTTCTTTGAAAGTCTCTACCTCCTTTTTTAACTATTTTTCTATTACTTCAAAGTTTAGAATGGATCTAAAGACCTATATGTTTGAGAAAGTCACTGAAAAGCGATGTTGAATATCTTGGAAATAGCGCTTTACAAATAATTGATTGGTTGATTGATTGAACGTATTGCCGAATTGATATCATCAAAGTTCGCTACGTTTGTTGCTAATCGAAAAAATATTTAGAAAATGTGAAAAAATTATCTCGAATTTTTTAAAACTATGCACATACCTAATATCTTTCAAGCCTAAAAATAGTAAAAATTCAAATACAAAAACCAATCTAAAAACATATGTTAAAGTTCATGTTTGTGCTCTAATAACTGCTTTTATCCAGTTTTTATATATACATATACTAGGTGTATTCTCATTATTTGTTCTTCAATCGCAGACGATTATATTCATCAGGTTAGGAGCAGATGGCAAGCGTTAAAAAAGTCGGTGTGAGCTTTAACTGACATGTCGCAAACAATCACCAACTTACGTTCAGCCTCATTTTCATTTCTTTACATACTGGTCGATTTTTTTTTCAATTTTTTCTCAACAACTCACCGCTCATGGATTCAAGCAAATTGCTTCAATGGAGACAGCAAATTTGAATATTGTATAGAACAGGGAGAAAATAAGAAACTTTGCAAGGTTTCACTTTCAACATCTCTCACAGAAGACTTCAAAATTTTTGTAATAACATTCAACTATCTATAACAGTGCTAACAGATGAAATTACCAAACGCGCCAGACCACCACTTCCATTTTTAAGTGCGATGCGTAAAAATAATAAAAATATCGCAAAAATATTAATAATAGCGAATGTTAGTAACAGTGATGATGAAAGTGCCGATGATTAACCGGGCAGAAGTTGAAAGGATTTGCTCCTTCCAAAAAGTTTAAATTCTTTTTTGACAGACAAATTATTTAATAAAATTCACATCAAATTATTAATTCTTAAAACTTTTTGTTTGAAGACTGAAAAAATTAATCAATGAACTTTGAACTTTTGAACACATTTGACTTTCCTGAATATTTTTTTAAATTGTTTTATCTGATGATTAATTCGAAATTTTTGTTTAAAAAAATTACATAACAGCAAATGGAGCGCGTTCAACTTTGTATGTGAAACAGTTACATGCCATGTTGAATAAACAGTTCTTCACGTCTACAAACACACATATGAACGAACACAAACAAACACACACATTGAATGAACACATACAAACACACATTTGAATGAACACATACAAATACACATATGAATGAACACATATGAATGAACACATACAAACACACATATGAATGAACACATACAAATATGAATGAACACATACAAATATGAATGAACACATACAAATACACATATGAATGAGCACATACAAACATACATATGAATGAACACACACGAACATACATATGAATGAACACACACAAACACACATTTGAATGGACACATACAAACACACATATGAATGAACTCATACAAACACACATATTAAATGATCAAGCAGCTGATATTTTATTGAAAACCTACATTTTTCGTCATAGCCGGATTTATTTAACTCTGATCTTTATGGCAGTTGTTGTTGCGTTACAATGCTAGTTGATTCAGTTTTAGTTCATCATCCTCCTCGTCGTCGTCATCTTCGTTGTCATGATCATCATGATCATCATCATCATCGCCGTCATCATCATCATATTTATCATCACCGTTTTAAATTTTGTTAGTTCAATCAATCAATCAATTAGCTTATAAAGCGCTATTTTCGCGATGTTCAACAGCGCTCCTCAATGAATTTTGAAAACAGATGGGTCTTGAGATCCGCTCTGAACTTCGCAAGTGATGGAGAAGTAGTCAGAGAAGTAGGTAGAGAGTTCCAGAAAAAAGGACCAGAAAAAGCAAAAGCAGATTTGGCAAAAGAGTGTTTAACACGAGTTAAGAAAAAGCGAGAAGAAGAAGACGATCGTAAACCGGGGCGTTTAGGTTCAATTAATATATCTGATAAATACTTAGGAAATAATTTAGACTGAGACTTATATATGCAACGTGCAAATTTTAAAAATTATTCTATATTTTATAGGTAGCCAGTGCAAGAGAACAAGATATGGAGATATATGAGAAAAAGAAAGGGGCACGAGCAACTAGACGAGCAGAGTTAAAAGCTTTACTTAAAGGATAGAGTATAGAGTCAGGAAGACCATAGTAGAGCGAGTTACAATAATCAATCCTAGATAAGACTAACGAAGTAACAAGAAGGAGAAGAGTAGGATCATCAAGAAAAGGCAAAAGTTTTTTTATTCTACGTAGATGAAAGTAAGAGCTTCTAGCAACACTATTAATCTGAGAAGAGAGAGACATAGTAGAATCAAAGATAAAACCTAGACTACGAAACTTATGAGAGACATCAAGAGTTTTAGAATCAGGTAAGATAATAGGAGGAATAGTAATAGAGTTTTTAGATTTATTAAAACAAATTAATTCAAACTTAGAAGGATTAAGTTTAAGACACATAGAGTCAGACCAAGCAATAATTGAAGAAAGACATAGAGATAAATTATGAAGAACACTATTGAGATTAGATGGAGGAAAAGAAGTATAAATGTAAGAATCATCAGCATATAGTTGCTTATAGCTGTTTGATAATATGATATTTCAGTCATTATTTAAACTTATACAACATGAAAATTAAATAAAACAGTGAAAGTAATTGAAAATAACTTCTTTTTATTGATGATAATGTTTTCCCATGTTTCTTTTTTTTACAATTGTGTGTCTTCAGCTCTCATGTCACGTGTCACAAATCACGTGATATGTGATTTAGAATAAGAACAGACAACAAATAAGAAGGTTAAATGTGCTGTTGTGTGTTGTCGAGTGTGTTTGCCTGTGTTGATGTGTGTGCTGTTGTGTGTATTGCTGTGTTGTCGTGTGTTGTGCGTATTATGTTGTTGGATCGACGCATCTTATTATTTCAACGTAATTAAAACATATGGCGTACAGTGGGTTTGGACCATCCCACCGTCTTGATTTAATTAATATTATTATCACAATTGAAACTTAATTTAAACAGATGTGGATGTTGAAAAATGTAATTTGAATGTTGAAATAAAATTTTTGTGCCGATGCAACAAAGGTTGGCTCGCGTAACATCCTGTCTCTTGTTTTCAGCACCTGGAGGTCTTTGACGCCATTGCACGCGAACCACGTCATAATTTTCATTCATCATTGTTGCCACATTATCATCCTAATATCATTATTTCTATTCATCGTCATTATCGTTACCGCCATCATGATCATCATAATCATAACCTTCAATATAGACCATCAAATATCTTTAATGTCCTCATCATTATTATAAAAGCATTTTAATATCGCGTCTTCGTCATCATTATCATCGTCGTCGTCGTCATCATCGTCATCTTGTTGTTGATGTTATTAGTGTTCTTGTTATTATTGTTTATATCAATAGTATAACTTTTCATGTACTTCTTCCAAAAAAATGATGCTGTCATGTCAATCATGTCAATTATTAAAATTACATCATAATATTATGACGTCACATCATTACAACATCACATTAACGCAGCACATCATCACCCCAGCATCACCGCAACACATCAGAGCAAAACAGCGTACCACAACACACCATAAAACTTTCTTCCTTATAATAACTTCATCATCATCGTCATCTCCATCATCAGAGCATCTTTGATATTCCAATAAAATCATTTCAATTGATTGTATTAGCTCATCGATTCCTGGCGACAAAATCGTTCTCCGCAATTCAAACTCTCCATCTTTTCCATTTTAAGCCACTTGAGTTCTCACAAGGCATGCACACAACTTGCGAACAAAATTGATGTCAAAAAATTAAAACAGAAAACTGCAAGTTGATTTATAATTAGAAACTAAATGAATATAATGATCGTTGTGTGTGTGTGTGTGTGTGTGTTTGTGTGTGTGTAAAAATCTAAAAAGACTGGGAATTTTATTGTGGTGATTTTATTGATGACAAATTTGTAGAAAGGTGTAAGGTATTGATCGTTAATATTTTGTACCAAGAGGAGTGCAAGCATGCATATATGACATACATACATACACACACACACACACTCACACATACACACACACACACACCACACACACACACACACACTCACATACATACATACATACATACATACATACATACATACATACATTTATTCATACACGAAAATACATATACGCATTCACATGTGCATACACAACAGGCGTGGCACGTGTTGCGCATCGATGTGTCAGGTAGTGAACTCACGACACTTATTGTTCATGCTCACATGTTCATTTGTTCTCGTGCATGTTTGTACTTCAACTGATTGTTTGCGTTTCTAATTGCACTCAATGTTAAAATATTGTTTAGTACAGTTCGGTCATGTCTGTTGCTTCATTTCGTTCACAAGTTCTTCTTGGATGCTGTGTTATTTGTTGATGATGGCTACCGGATGTTGTGTTGTTTGTAGTGGATGTTTGAAAACAATCTGAAAATTAAAAAATCACAGCGCCAAAATGTCAATTTATTTTTAATAAAGCTTGTCTCATTTTTTTTTATCTTGAATAGCTTAAAAATCTAACATTTTCTATTTTGAGTTTTTAGTTATTTTTATTTATTATTTGTAAACTTTTACGTTAAAAATATTTGATTGTATTTATTTATCCATTTTTTGTTTCAATGAAAAAATGTAACGCTGAACTTCACAAGAGCTGTTTGCAAACAAACGAATCACTATTGATTTGATATTTATATCAGTATTTTTATTTCCTTCCATTGTTGAAATTTTTCAAGTTTAAATCGCTGATGACTGATGAATGTTACAGCACAAAATCGACAAAGTTTTAATTACAATGTGTATGCAAATGTGTGGAATAACTTGAATACACTTCTATAATACACCAATAATATAAACAAATTTGCATCATGTACCAACTATGTGCATTCATATTGCCATCAAAATATCTCTCACTGTTTTCGCCAGTACCACAACCACCACCATCACCTCCACCATCATTCTCATCATTATCATCACCACCTTCATCATCATCATTATCATCACTGCCAATTGTTTAATTTTACTCACTACGACACCTCACCATTCATGGTGATCTCAACAACCATCACGCATCATTGCCAGCGCAGTCATCATTATCATGACCAATTCCATAATTTTGCCGACATCGTCGCCGTAAGATGATCTGAAGAATTAATGTCTTCTCTATGAGGCAAAAAGTTCATTAAAAGCAGCATAAACAAACATAAGCAGAGTAACGAAAAGATAATAAAGAGGAGAGAATAATTGGAAGTTTACATTCCAACCTGGAATATTTAACAAGTTTTTATGCTTTTAAAAATTTTATGTCTTCAGTGGACCATTACAAAATGTATCATCAACATATTATTATTTTCTTATTGTCATAAAGTATGTTAATAATTTCTTTTACTAAATTTTAAAAATTACACTTTCAAGTGTCTATTTTGTTTTAAATGAGACGCATATTTTCAATTTAAACAAAACTGGGATCGATCTTATCGCTCTTCTAAAAATATTATTCAACATCAGCAATGCATTAAGCTGTTATCAAGTTGAGTTCTTATTTATATAAAACTCAAAAAAAAATCGTCAAATATAACTGTAATTTAAATTTTCAAAAAAAAAATTATCTGAATTTTTTTGGTTTCAAATTGTTTCTAATTATTTTGATTTGGGGTAACAAATCGCTTTTATAGAATTATCATAAAATCATATATCCTATTCAAAAAGACAATAACATTTTCACACAGCCTTCAAAAAATAAACATTGCAAATTAATGCAGACATTTATATGATTGTTTTGTGGTATTCTTAACTAGTTTCCAAATTATTTTCAAGTGAGTGAAAGTTTGTAAAAATTGTAAAGCAAAAGTTGAAAAAAATTTTCGAGTCAGAAGTCGAAGTCGGGAGTCTGAATATTTTCAATTAAAAAGATTTAAATTTTGATCCCACAACAAAACACTGGAACATTGGCAACAATTTAACATATAAAAATCGCACCTTACAGACAGAACCGGATTAAGGCTTTGTTAGACATATTTTTATAAGTGGCCTGAAAATATATTACAATACAGTACAATACAATATTTTATTTGACCTCCAAAAAAATAAATATACTGTATCAAAGAGTTTCAAAGTTAAATAAGTTTAAAAGGTAAATAAGTAATTTTGTGATAATAATTACAACTAAAGTCAATGCAAAATATTTTCATTTCCGATTGCTTCCATGTCCCATCGTTTCCCACCTGACTGACCTGAGAATGAGATGTTAGCGGGGAATCGTCAGTAGTAGTGGCACCACCCCTGGCACCGGCACCACCACATTCACTAGCACTAGTAGCATTCTTCTCCAGGACAGGGAAAAATGAAGTAACTTTATGTGTCTTGTTAAGCAGCAGTCCATCTTCATGACGTTTCTTCTTTTCCAACACTTTTTCTCGTTCCCAGCCACCTTTACGCCTGGACAATGACATTAATCTAGATAAGGTTTAACATCAACTAATAGCAGAGTATTAATATTGAGAAGTTGTAACTTAATAAGCTGCGAATGAAACTGATTTATGAGAATTCTGTTTTATAAATTTGAAATATAAATAATTACATAAATAATAACATATCAAATAAAAAATTTAAACTTTAAATCAGATTTAAATTTAAACCTCCCAGGTACTTTCAAGCTGTTAATATGTCTAACTAATAAATGATAATCATACTGTAAACAGAGAAACACTGAAATGAATTGTGAGTAATTAATTTAAACTTAAATTTGCTTACTCTTATTACTCTTGAGATTTAATGCATATTTTGGTTGGCTGGATACTATATATTATAGTTCTAATCTAAGGTCAACTAAATGTAGAAGAGATTCCTAAATAATAAAATACTTCAGTCCTAAACAATAAAATAAACTGATGCAGTACCTACGGATTTTAAAATATGTGTAAATAAACGTGTTTACCGTCTATTATATTTATAATAACACTGACGCCTGTTTGCATAGAATATGAAGTCAAAACTAACTTCTGACGAGAAAATGCTTCTACTTTTTTGCCCCTTCCTAAGCCTACTTTTTGTGGCCCTAGTCTATTTTTTGCCCTAATGCACGTGCCTTGTTTGCCTAATGGTTTTTCCGGCACTGCTTACAGTATATGTAGTTGTTTAAGAGCTTCAAAATTGGGAGTGCTTGCAGAATTTTGTCTGCTTTTGTGAAAACTTTTTTTCAGCTAGCGTCTACTTGGTGATATATCAATTATGCATATAACCATATATGCTGAATCATATAGGAGCTATTTCATATTTAACAGTATTGTTGGAAGTTGGATGCGTATGGAAAAAATTAAAAAAAGCGATTTAACATCTTCTGAATCGATATCTATTCAAATTATTTTGCTCGTGTGGATATCTTAGTGTATATGGTTAAAGTTATAAACGATAGTAATTTTTAACGGTTATTATTTAAAAAAAAATATTTAAGTTAAAAATATAAAATAATGTGGGTTGTGTTTGTTTAGCGATTTTCTGATACGACACTACGGATGTGAATACATTTAATTAACGTTTAACCAACGGTGTGGTGAATTGCAATTTTAAGTGTTAAATTAAACTTTTGATAGAAATAATTTTTTACTAAATATTAATTTTGTAATAATCAGTTAGGCAAATAAAATTGACTTGAATATGTTTAAATTATTCCACTTAGACTTACGGTTAAATAAATGATACAATATTTGAATTAAAAAACAACAAACATTGAAATGGTTGAACGTAGTAAAGTAGAGTAAAAGAAAAACCAATATTCCTGGTTGATTTGTTAACAAAAGCTATTAAAACAACAAGTCATAATTTTTAATTTTATTTAGTTGTAATTGCCGAGTTATAAACTTTCTTTCAAATTTTGTTCGAATAAAACAAAAAATGATCGGTAATTTACTGCTTTCGAGTTTTGTTGAGATAATGTTTTGATGCTATCCTAAAAAACGAAGATACTTAGTTCACCCTATGTTATATCAAAAAAATTGCGCTATGTTCCATATACGAATCAAGATATATGCATATAACGCAAAACAATGAAATGCAATTGATGAATAGAACATAGAATATGACATCAATCAGTTTGCAAAGCATCGAGCAATAAATGAAATACTGCCAAAATATTAGAAAATTTGTATAAGTATAAAACAAATCAAAACGCTACTTTCCAAAATTGTAAGTCTAAGTTTATTTTTAAAAGATTTAAAATAAAATTGATAAAAATTGAATAACATCAGTTTTACATCAGTTGTGGTCAGTAAATATTAGAATATTTTTTTACCTATATCTACTAATTTATAAAATATAAAAAGTTTATTATACAATTTTTGTTTTAAATAAAGATCCCGAATTTGACAAAGATTAATTATGCGGTTTGAGAGGCATCATTATAAACTTGCACTCCGCCAAAAACATTTCCTAAATACAGAGTTCTCCTATTTTTAATTGTCATTATTTTTAGAATATTGTGAATATTTTTTTTACTTTGGTTAATAAGAGTTTTTCATGCAGTTGCTTAATGAATTTTTCAATGCATGCCGCAGACTTACGTGAAATACGTTATGATGCCTAATATTTAAATATATATTGTTATAACCGCTGCAATGATCAAATTGCGATATAATATTTGTTATCCTAATTAATGTCATTTTTGCTATAATTGTAATTTTTGGATTGTTAATAATTATAAAAAGATATTTGTAATCTTTCCATCATAAAAATCCACCTTGGAAGCCTACATAAGCTCCTGCGGCGATACAAGTTTCCAGTCAGGTTTCTAGTGAGGTCGATTCGAAGTTGTAATTGGGATTTGTGTAGTTACTTGGATTAGTTTAAATTTTCTATTACTCTTGACATTCAAATAAACGTTCAATCAATTTACATTTGAAGCATACTGAATAACGAATACTTGACGATTGTTGGAAGCTACAACTCTGGTGTTGGAAATATAGAGATTTTTGAAGTTATAAAACTGGTGTTGGTAGTAACGAGCGTTCAAGGTTACAACAATATAATACAGGATGAAAAGATTGAGTACAGTTTTCAAAATGTGATGATGTAAATAAATTAGAATGCATGTATATGAAACAGAAGCTAGCATTAAACAACATTTACTGTGGAGTACATGCATTGATGTAAGATGTGCATGGAGTGAGCAGACTGACATGCAAAAATAAACAAAATCATCGACAGTGCCAGATAATGGTTTGATTGTTCCACTGGTTATGAGTGACACCTCTAATCAATGCGGCAGAGTTATTAAGTGCACCCGCCATGCTTCGCACAAACAAATACATACACACAGAAACATACATACATACCATACATACATACACAAACATATATATAAACAAATATATACATAAACAAACAAATACATACATTCACATACAAACAAAAATACACAAACACATCCAAAACAAACAAACGAATATATACGTAAACAAACAAATATATACGTCCATGCGTACAAACAAACGTACATACGTACAAACAAATGTACATACGTACAAACAAATATACATAAATACATATAAACAAACAAATATACACATGCACAAACTAACGACTACATACAAACAAAAACAAACACATGCAAATAATACATTCACAAACAAAAACATACATTCACAAAATACGAAGATTGAGAGAAATCAAACGAGTGACTCATTAATTCTTTCTCTTGCTTCCTCCAATCTATCATTCAATATTACAAGACATCACTGAATTTTAAAATTTGTTCAAAAACATTCATAGAACGCATGCTATTGCTACTGATTGATTAGAAATGTCTCAATTAATGAAATATTGAAATGAAATATTTTTAAAACAAATTAATGAAAAAAATATGAAACATTGAAATGAAATATTTTTAAAACCAGTTTTTTTAAATTATTCAAAAACGTCTTAATATTTTATTAATTTATTAGTTTTGTCATATTACTATTAATATAATGAATTAAAAAAATAGTAAAAGCGAAAATTATGCTTAAAATTTTCAAACAAAAATAATTGATGCACAATATTTTTTTTTGTTATATAACATCTGAAATTTTTGGAATCGAATTTGAAACACGACAAGAAAGGAAGCAGAAAGAGAAAGTTAATTTTCGATCGGAAGGAAAGTTCAGCGAAACCTAATTGTCAGGTTGACATATGTTTATGTATATCTTTGCACAACACTCACATATAACATCATATTTATAGGTAATATACAAATGTACACCACCGATGTATATATATATATATGTATATATATATATATATATATATATATATATATATTAAAATCACAGCATGTTCGACGTTAGTTAATTTCCAATTTAACTTTTCGATTTTTCTAATGTTGTTTTTCATCGCTAGAGTTGGATTAGTATATTCGTATTTTAATACTGTTGTTTTGGTTGATTGCTTGGACATTATTTTTTATGATTCTTTTCATAATTTTTTCGTCCTGTTTGAAAGCGGTTGACATGTGATTTTTATAATATTTTACCATGTTATTTTTGTTATTATTGTTAGTTGCATTGTTGTTGTTGCTGATTTTTTATTCTTTGGGTTCTCTTATTTTCTGGATCATGGAATTTTTATATCCATTATTAATGAGTAGTTTAAGGATTACATCTAGTTCTGTTCCTCTTCTTCTCAGGTTTACAAAGGCAGAAATCGTGCTCTCTAGGTATGTTTGATAACATTCACTATTGCCATTGAAGCATAAACCTTTGTTGGTTGCTTTGGTGTTGACTGAGGTTTTAAATTCATTTTGCACATTTTGTATTAGTACGTCTAGGAATGGTAGTTTATTGTCAGTTGATTTTTCCATTGTAAAAATTAATTTTGACTAGTTTAGTCGTTGTAGAAGTATTTCTATTTGATCATCATCTTTATATGTAACAAATATATCGTCAACATATTGGCAGTATATATTAAGTTTTAGTTCTGGTTTTTCTATAAATAACATTTCTTTGATATGTCCAACATCGAAGTTTGCGAAGAATACTCCCAATGGAGAGCCCATTGCTACACCGTCTATTTGCTGATATATGTGTCACCAGGCCAACGAAATGCTGCACATATTCTTAGCAGCGCGACTAATTCATCTTTTGTAATTGGTAGTGGTGAATGACTTGAATTGAATAATCTATCTATTATTATGCTAATTGTGTCTTCTACAGGAACATTTGTAACACCAAAATAGCATCTTTGGATGTGGAGTCACTCTTTTTTTGATAGAACATAAAATCTTTTTTGGTGAAATTTCAGTGTTTAAATTGATATGCTGTGTATGTGCCCAGATTCTCAAATATATATATATATAGATATAAATATATACATATATATATATAAATATGTATATATATATATATATATATATATATATATATATATATATATATATATATATATATATTCATCAGATGTCTTTGTTCTGAGTATTGATTCAGCAAATCGTAAATTATAGTGGTTAATATTGTAATGTAAGATTTCAACATTGTGGTCCAAGATTTGTCTAGTAATTTTAGTTTTGTGTTTCCCTTTTATTTGATTCTTTATAGCGCCATTTTGTTCGTGCGTCGTGGGTCTTCTCGATAACTTGGTCATCGTCATACCAATACATTCAAAATGATGGTGCCCACACTCACCAATATTACATTTGAACAAATATATTAGATGGCTATTGATTCTGGTTTATTAGTGCAGTTGTTTTTCATCACAAGAGATGACGTTTTTTGATTGGAGTAGTATATTCGAAGTTTAATATTATCGTATTCGTTGGTTGCTTTGACATTATTTTTACGATTCTTTTAATGCTTTTTCATCCTGTTCGAAATAGTATAGGAATACCAAAAAAAGCTTTTTTATTCAATCATGCATAAAATAAACAAAATAAAGAAACTTGAAAATTATTTACGATCAACCGTTAGAAAAATCAAAAAGTTAAATTGGAAGTTAACTAAATAACTATATATATAATTAGAGTTAAGAAAGTCGTGGATACAATTTTTAAGAAACATCACCGCATTTTCAACTTTGTTCGGGCTCAATTTTTCAATATTTCGTATCGAATTTTTATCATCGTTTTTTAACTTATTTATATAGAAAACAAAGTTTTTAACTACTTTTTTATTCATTTTCATCTTATAAAAAAAGGTTTTTCGGTAATCCTTTACCATTTTCAGTGTAGTCTGTTATCAACTATTGGTTGTATATTATATATACTTATATCTATGCGATCCTATATATATATATATGCGATATATATATATATATATATATATATATATATATATATATTGTCGGAGATTTTAATGATTAGAATTTCCAAATGATGACAAAGCCCCACGTTGGGCGCTAATTGTTGGAAATTTATAAATGAAAACAATTAAAACAACTGGTGGTGTGAGGTAGGTAATCTCCTCCTCTATCTTTTTCAGGGAATTTTTTTTTATGGTCCGACAATAATTTTTGTGTATATTTTTATCGTGAGTTCGACCAGTCCTGTGTGGCACTGGGCTTTTTCGAATTATATGATTTTACTGAGTAGCACACGAACGCGTAAAAATATTCGATAACAATTTTATTAATCGACGGAAGTAAATAAAAAGGAATTGAACTAATGAACTCTATAACAATGTAAAATGTCAATGAACAAACTGGAATACAGGAATTAGAACTTCTTTTTGTTGGGTCTTCGACTTGGGATATGTTTCTTGCCGTTTAATCGTACAACCTCGACGTGTGTATCCGATGGTGATGTCTATACAACTCCAAGAAATAAATAAAATGAATGCGGACAAATTACAAAAATCGGAGCCTATGGAAATTGCAAGCTGCGTGTGAAACTGTACCAATGAGTATAGAATCCAGCAAAGAACCCTAGGTCCACAAATAGCACAAGAAACAAAAGAAGGAGGCGGATTCGTTTTCACAGAATCCAAGGCCTGTTTTCACTGTCAGTCGGTCGGTCGGCTTTCGCACAACCCTGGCCTGTTTTCACTGGGCCGTCGAGTCTGATCGGCTTTCGCACGACCGACACAAAACAACAAGAGTCAGAACAACACTGGAAACAAATTGTGTGACTTCAGTACGCGTGCGAAACTATGCCAATGAGCATAGAGTCTCGTACCAAATCCACTTTTGAGAACTTAAGACGTTTCTGAAACTATTCCAATGAGCATAGAATCACGCATTAAGTCTCTTAGATACCAGAATAGGCACTGATTACTCGAAGCTGCCTAACTGGTGAACCCGAGGCTGACTCTTTTTGAGAACTTAAGACGTTTCTGAAACTATGCCAATGAGCATAGAATCACGCATTAAGTCTCTTAGGGACCAGATTATTCGAAGCTGCCTAACCAGTCAACCCAGTCTGGACTCTCTTCGAGAACTTAAGACGTCTCCGTGCTAATGAGCATAGAGTATCGAATTAAGTCTCTGAGGGACCAGAACCGAATATTCGAAGCTGCCTAACTAGTCAACCTCCCAGTCTTCCCTCTCCTCGATTCCACACCCTTCCTTATCAATGCAAAATTAGATTTTGTTTCGGGTGTTTTAAAACATAAAAATTTCCAAGGTATGTCCAATTAATAGAAAAAACTACTAATTAAATTTTAAAATAATTTGTAATAATTTATGACGTCATCTAAATTGCAAAACAAAAAAAATCGTCGTAACCTATCGAGTAAATTAACTTGCACCACGCCCCCTATCGAGTGAATAAATTTTGCATTGAAAATTTTGCAGTATTTTTAGTCAGTATTATTTCATAATTCTGACACTTTCCACCACCCCCTCTTTCTGGTTGGAATAAGGTATGGCGAGCACATTGATTGTCGGCAAATTGTACAGTTCAAAAGATAGTTCTCTATATAATGGCATATGCATAAAATAACAAAACAATGAAATTTGTCTGAAAATTGTACAGTTTAAATAAGTCTCTATATAATGGCATATGCATAAAATAACAAAACAATGACATTTGTCTGAAAATTGTACAGTTCAAATAAGTCTCTATATAATGGCATATGCATAACAACAAACAAAATTAAATTAAAATTAAACAAAACACAGGAAACAAAAACATTGTTTTCATACATGCTTCAATTTATTTATGTGTACGACAATGGTTTTACAACCATTACACTTCTTAATCTCGAAATTTACATCACTAACTTTCCTTGAAATCATGTAAGGACCGTCATATAACTTTGTCCACTTAGGATACTTATTTTTAACGTGCTTTGGATTATAATAATAAACCATTTGTCCTTCTAAA